CTAAACATCAGCACTCTTGAAAAGCCCAGGCACGTTACAAAGCCAAATAGGTGGTTTGAACTACCCTGCTTGCTCAGAGTATGGGACACAAGTGTAGATTGCTGGGCTACTAGAGATGAGGGTTTAGAAGGGAAAGTGTTGCCTTTAGTACATTTTGGACACCTGCATGGCCTGGGTTCATCATCTGAGAAAGCTGCACTTGGGCTCCCCAGCCTCACTCCTGCAAAACATCTCTTACCAAACTCCACTCAGTGCCTGCTGGAGGTGGGAAACTTCAAAGGTTAATGAGAAACTATTTTTAGTCTTGCTCAGAGTTGATTCATGCTGAACACCCTTCCTTCCTCTGCAGATCACTGCTCCAGTAAGTGGCTGCAAACCCCTCAAAAGACAGCCCCCCAGAGGGATGGGACTGTGTGTTGCTGTGTTGGGGCCCTCTGAGAGCCAAAAAACCTTCCCTGCAGCATCCCCAAAACACATTGCAAGGGAGAAGGTCTGAGGCTATAACTCAGGGACTGCCAAGGACAAACACATTTCAGCCAAAGTGCAGGATGGTGTGTCCCTTGGATGCTGGGTAAATTTTAAAAAGATTCAGAAGGCAGCCCAGCTATATGTTTTGCCTGGGTGTAAAAGAGAGGGTCCTATCAACCATTTCCATGCCCATAGCCACAGGATGCAAGAGAAAACTCTCTTGGCAGGTCTGAATCACCCAGATGATGCTTTGGGCATGCATGCTTGGGGGTTGGGGCTCCATAAATCCTGCTTCCTTGTGGCTGCAGCTGAAGGAGACCAGCATCCAATGCCACAAAGGTCTTGGATGGATGCGACCATAATGGTCCCATCCCTTGTCAGGCAGCAGCTCCTTCCTGGAGCTCTGACTTCAGAGTCTGGGACTCACAAGAGTCCCATCTGGGTCTGTTTATGACTCCCTCCAAGTTGTTTTGCAGCTTTCTCATTACTGGGCTTATTGTGATCTCCAATTCTCCCAGGAGCAGGCCTGTGCCTGCTTGGTGCCAGTGTCTGGCCCAGTGCATGGACCTTTTCCCTGCTTTTTTTACCAATGTGGGACTCATTTGGAAGGAATGTGCTGCCCGGAGTGGTGATGACCTTGGTATGAATTCATGCAGCTCTGCTAGGCACAGCTCAAGCATTTTCATTTCCAGGCTTCTGCTGATTGCTCCAGATATCTTCATGTACTCCCCAATAATCTAGAAAAGGGCATGAAAAATCTCCAATGAATGGGACAAGCATGGGGGAAATATCCTTCACAAGGATCTCATTCAGCTGTGGTTAATAAAAGTTGTTCACTTAACAAAGGGGGGAACCAAGTTGTTGCCAGGCAGCTTTCATTATTCTCTGGGAGTTTTAAAAATAATAATAATCCAGAATGACCCAAGAGGCACAGAATTATCTGTGGCACAATCATTCATCCATAATGGCCCCATGTCCTTCTGCTGTGTGAGTTAGTCATAGTGGTGACTGAAGCCCTGAGCTGCCCTGGTGCTGTCCTCCTCTTTTGTGGGAGTTTGTGGGGTGGATCAATTCCTAACCCAGTGCCCATGTCCCCGTGCTGAGGGTGGCTATAAGCACCACTGCTGGGGGCTGTCTCTCCAGAAGAGGCAGCCTGCAGTCCCACTCCAGCGCTTCCTGAGGCATCCTACCTATCTGCAAATCCAATTCACACCTGCTTTCCCAGTGATCACACAACATGTAATATTCCTCTGTGGAAAATTAGTCACGGCAGCAGGCAAAGCTCTTTGATTTTATTTCTTTCTCTCTGCCTTTTTTTTTTTTAATTCTTCTTTAATTGAAATGACTCAACCCTTTGAGTGAGGAGAATGAATCCAAACTCCTCCTGGATTTATTACCCTATAGTCCCTAATGCTAGTAGGAGCTTTGGGGTTTTTTTGTTCAGTTTAAATTGGAGTGGCTGTCACTGCCTATGGCCTTTCCATAGCTGCCACAGCCCCAGGACAAAGTCACTCTTTCAGCCAAGGGGTTTTTCTAACAAACCTTTTCACTGTATTTTCATTTCTCTTTCTATTTTCTAATCAAAGAGATTTAAGGACTTTTAAATCAGTTGCTTATTATGTTGCTGACACAATTGGCAGCAGGTTTAATTTGCAGCTAGAAGGCAAGCGGGAGAGCAAAAACTTGTAATAAACAGCATTTTCTGCTCTAATGTATTCTGTCAGTGCATGACTAACACATTATCACAGGAGGTGGTACCTCACCCCAGAAGGTAACAATCTAGTTTCCCTGGAGCCACAACCCCCCCCCCCATTTTGCCCCAGCTAATTAAATACCGTTTGAATATCAAAGGAGAGCGAGGAATGGTAGAGGTTTTCCTTCACTTCTGGATGAACTTCCTTCTCCCACTTCTCCGTGACCTCCAGTCTCAGGATGTTTCCAAAATAGCTTTTGATTTTCTCCTAAATGTTAAATGTAGGAAGGAAAGATGCAGCTCAGGATAACAAAGAAAGCATGAGCCAAGTGTCTTGCAGCATTTAGTTCTATTGGCATATGAGTGGCACAAAAAGGTAAAGCAGAGTCAGAGGTCTTGCTCCAGAGCCTGTTGGTCTACATGGGATCTCAGGAAAAATCAGGAGCTGTGCTGAATGGGGCAAGGTACTCCCAAATCGAGGGAAAATCATTCTTCTGGCAGGGAAATACTGTGTCAGCTGTTTGACTGCATGATTGCAAAGTCTTCCAGGATGTGTAATGCACAAGGACAGGTTTAAAGATCAAACTGGTCCTTTCTGGCGGTACAGAAACTCAAGTCAGTGACAGCAATCTTCAGTCCTGCCTGATAAATCAGTCTTGTTACAGGTGAAAAAAAATGAGCCTCCACCAGCACTATGGAGCAATACAGATTTTATTCAGCTGGGTCCCTTGAGCTCACCTTCAGCAGTGCTCTGCTTCAGAAATGGTTTGTGAGAAAATAAGCCCAGGAAAGAGCCAGGAAAGCATGTAGTCTTATACAGATTCCCAGCCAGGGACAGAAGACAGACAACTGTGGAAGGGGCTTCCTAGGAGGAGCTGAACCATGGAGTGGTTCTCTGTTGGGGACAAGCCCCAAGTTGTTTGACTATATCAAAACTCTAATGTGAAAGTACATCATGAAAGTAGCAGTTTAAAAGCCTTCACATCTAGCTTTGCAGTCCACTTTATCTGATGAAGCCCAGCTATGACCTTTCAGTATGCCTCTGCCATACTGTATGGGCCTGGTACAGTCCCTTTGGCTCTGTGATCATCCAGGCTCAAGCTCATGGCCTACTTCAGTCCCAGCATTGATGTTCAGGATTTTTTGCTTTTGATTAAAAGCCATTCTGCATGGTGCTGGCAGGACTTAGCAGCTGGTGGGGCTAGGAACTATGGTGCAGCCATCCAAGAAATTGTGCTGGTAGGCTAGGGCTCCCTGGGGGTTATATGGGGGCAGGGGTAAAGCTCTCACCTTTGCAGTAGTGATGTAGTCATTCTTCAGTTTATCCCAATCACCTGGTGTTAACAGCAAGGACAGGTTTTCTGTCTTAACTTCTGGTTTGAGATCAGGGTGGCCCAGAAGGAGTTCACTGGAAAGATTCAAAGGAACAAATTACGTTGCCTCAGAGCATGAGTAAACTGATGGAATATTCATGTGGCATGAGCTACATAATTATTAAGCCGTGAGAAATATACTTAAAGCTCAAATTGCGATGCTTGTTTTCAAGCTTTAACAAGAAAATCTTTCCTTGCTATTCAAAATCCTAATTATTCAAAATCAAAATGATCTAAGGTTCCAGCCCACCTTAGAAATCATGAGACTTCAGAGTTGTTTGGACATGAAAAGTGCTATGAGAATTTACTTTTTTAAAATAAACAACCTGAAGCTGATTCATCTGACTACAAGCCTGTGAAATGCCTTCCAGAGTCATTCCTGTAGCAGCGTGCTGCTTTGGAGGGAGCTGACCTCCCTGGCTCCTCGCTGGTGTCACATCACAGCTTATGTCAGCCTGTTATTTTTCTCTGTGCTTTATCCCTAGCAAGGGGAGGTGGCAGAGCAGGTCCTGCTCTGTGCAGGGCAGCCTCTGGAAAGCACTCCCCTGCCTGGGACGCAGGCCATGGCCGCACAGCCTTCCCTCCGCAGGTGGAGGCGGTGGGTGGATGTGCAGCTTCAGAGCCTGGCTCCGAAGTGTGCTCAGCTGACACATGACTTTACCACTCACTTCCCTCTGGATTGCCATGTAATCAGGCCAGTTGATTAGTGGAGAGGCAGGGAGAGGGAGGGAGCGCTTGTGTTTCTCCCTTTGGAGTGAAAAAACCCATTATCAGCCTGTACAATTGAATGCGTGACCCCTGCAATCTGCCATGCACTGTGGAGGCATTGCACCTTTCAGGGTGATGAAGGTGGAGAGGAGAAAGAAGGAAAAATATTTATGCACTTGAATAAGCTCCAAGCAGTCACCTGGTTAGCAAGGAAAGCAGCTGCAATGTCCTACACAGCCTGCTCAACCACTGAAAAGGGATCCCATCGCCAAACCAGCACTGTGACCATGGCTGGGTTTGAATCCAAATGAGGATTGTACTGGACAAGGTTGGTGCAGAGTGACTGCTCAGCAGAAAAAAAAAAAAAAGCTCATCTTGCAGATAATATCCTGGAGTCAATATTCCTGCAGTCGTGGTTCAGATTCCTCAGTGGGGTACATCTGCACGTGTGGAGTATTACACAGCCCAGTCTGCTGCTCATTTAAAAGGACACCACAGATTTAAATACAAACACTCCACCATGACTTGAAAGATTGGCTCAAATGTGTATACTCTAAGAGCTTGTTCCCCTGCCTTTTTTATTTTTTTTTCTTTCCCCCCTATTTTTTTGAATTGTAACATTCTTTTTTTTGGGGGGGGATGTGTCCCAAGAAGTCATAAAGTTCTTTTAGAATGGGAATATCAAACGGGAACAGCCCAGCCCAGCAAGGTGATTGCAAGCAGTGCTCACAGCAGCTGCAAGTTCTCAATAAGCTCTTTCATGACATGTTAGAGAAATACGATGGGGGCACTTTGCTTGCTGCAGAACCTGGCTGCTGAAACTCATTTATTCCTCCCTTTCCTGCAGGATGGAGTGCAGTGCAGTTCCCAGGGGCTGGGGACATGCACAGATTTCCATCCAGATGAGATTGGCAAGGACTCGTGAGGAAAAGGGGCAATGGGTGGGAGTGTCATTCCCATAGTAGTCCTGCCCTAGTGCTAGTCAGCCTGTGCTGTGGTGGTGAGGGGTTTACAACCATGTAATCATAGCCACCAAACCATAAGTGGGATTTTAGGAGCAACTGGAAGAGTTCACAAAATGTATCTGTTGATGGCTATAGCCCCCAAAACAAAGGCCATCTACAGTGCCAATGTCTCTGAATCAAAAGCTACGCCAGGGTAACAGTGCTCTGGGTGTCACTGCTGCCTGCCCTGCTCCATCCCTGCCCTGCTCCACCACTGTTTGACTTGGTGTTGATACTCCTGCTTTCAACTCATGCTTTTGCTTGTTTGAGGGGTGCCAACTGGTTTGCACTTGTTCTATCCCTGGGCATCTGGTTCAAACCATTACTGGAGACCAGCTACTGGGACAGACATGGTTTTGCTTTGACATGGCTGTTTTACATGTTTATTAGCAGACTATCTTCTGTGGATGCTGCCTCTCTCCTACTTCCCACCCCACTATGTATTTCTGTTGGATTTTAGTATGGGACCTCTTTGGGGCTGACATGATGGGCTGTGGTCTAGGCCAGTGAGCACCCAAGGACACTGACACTCAATGCTGGCACCTTCTAGAGGTGCCTATCTTAGATGTCTCATGTTGGTGTAAAAGAAGGCAATGTCCAGCAGTACTGATTTCACTGCTGTTGCAGAGTTCCTGTCTTCACTCCCACATGCCCTGACGTTGATGTTTGATGTGTCTATGCAGATGCTAGAACATTTTAGTCATGCCTGAATTGCAAGGAGCTCTAAGAGGTCCTGTAAACCATGGGTCTCCCAGTGGACACATCTAAGCCAGAGCTTTTGATTTAATGGGGCTGATTCTACTCGGTGATGTCTTGGTGTATCCTCAAAACAACTTTGATTCCTGAGCACGGAGGGTAACATGGCCTGTTTCCAAATGCATCACAGTTTCAATTAAATGGGAAAAAGGCAGGGCTCATCCACAGATCCCTCCCTATGCCTGGAAAAGTCTCCAAGAAGCTGCTGGACCGTGCAAAATACTTGCAGAGAGGGAGCAGGTTTATCAGAGCTGCAAGGAGGAGCTTCCTGGCATGTGAGAACATCAAGTGGGAGAGGGAAAGATTGGCTCAAATTGTATTATTCTAGAGCTTGTTCCCCTGCCTTTTTTTATTTTTTTTCTTTCCCCCCTATTTTTTTGAATTGTAACATTCTTTTTTTTGGGGGGGGATGTGTCCCAAGAAGTCATAAAGTTCTTTTAGAATGGGAATATCAAACGGGAACAGCCCAGCCCAGCAAGGTGATTGCAAGCAGTGCCCACAGCAGCTGCAAGTTCTCAATAAGCTCTTTCATGACATGTTAGAGAAATACGATGGGGGCACTTTGCTTGCTGCAGAACCTGGCTGCTGAAACTCATTTATTCCTCCCTTTCCTGCAGGATGGAGTGCAGTGCAGTTCCCAGGGGCTGGGGACATGCACAGATTTCCATCCAGATGAGATTGGCAAGGACTCGTGAGGAAAAGGGGCAATGGGTGGGAGTGTCATTCCCATAGTAGTCCTGCCCTAGTGCTAGTCAGCCTGTGCTGTGGTGGTGAGGGGTTTACAACCATGTAATCATAGCCACCAAACCATAAGTGGGATTTTAGGAGCAACTGGAAGAGTTCACAAAATGTATCTGTTGATGGCTATAGCCCCCAAAACAAAGGCCATCTACAGTGCCAATGTCTCTGAATCAAAAGCTACGCCAGGGTAACAGTGCTCTGGGTGTCACTGCTGCCTGCCCTGCTCCATCCCTGCCCTGCTCCACCACTGTTTGACTTGGTGTTGATACTCCTGCTTTCAACTCATGCTTTTGCTTGTTTGAGGGGTGCCAACTGGTTTGCACTTGTTCTATCCCTGGGCATCTGGTTCAAACCATTACTGGAGACCAGCTACTGGGACAGACATGGTTTTGCTTTGACATGGCTGTTTTACATGTTTATTAGCAGACTATCTTCTGTGGATGCTGCCTCTCTCCTACTTCCCACCCCACTATGTATTTCTGTTGGATTTTAGTATGGGACCTCTTTGGGGCTGACATGATGGGCTGTGGTCTAGGCCAGTGAGCACCCAAGGACACTGACACTCAATGCTGGCACCTTCTAGAGGTGCCTATCTTAGATGTCTCATGTTGGTGTAAAAGAAGGCAATGTCCAGCAGTACTGATTTCACTGCTGTTGCAGAGTTCCTGTCTTCACTCCCACATGCCCTGACGTTGATGTTTGATGTGTCTATGCAGATGCTAGAACATTTTAGTCATGCCTGAATTGCAAGGAGCTCTAAGAGGTCCTGTAAACCATGGGTCTCCCAGTGGACACATCTAAGCCAGAGCTTTTGATTTAATGGGGCTGATTCTACTCGGTGATGTCTTGGTGTATCCTCAAAACAACTTTGATTCCTGAGCACGGAGGGTAACATGGCCTGTTTCCAAATGCATCACAGTTTCAATTAAATGGGAAAAAGGCAGGGCTCATCCACAGATCCCTCCCTATGCCTGGAAAAGTCTCCAAGAAGCTGCTGGACCGTGCAAAATACTTGCAGAGAGGGAGCAGGTTTATCAGAGCTGCAAGGAGGAGCTTCCTGGCATGTGAGAACATCAAGTGGGAGAGGGAGGGGAAAATGGGGTAATTTAGATCTGTGAAAAGCAGCAAGTGCTGCTTCATTCAGAAACCTTTGTCCCTACCTATTAACAGATTAGCTCTCTGCTCTACTGCAGAGATGACTGTGTCTCTCTTTCTTGCTGAGAAAGCTGACAACAGCCGGGTGCTCTCGCAGCCCCCCCAGCCCTGCTGCTCTGCGAGGAGGCTGAGGTTGCATGGCCAGCACAGCAGCTTACCTGTGGTAGGTGTTGGCCACCCAGTTGAGCAAGCTGTAGAGCTCATTGAATTCCAGTGGTCTCCGGGAGAGATGTTGCAAGTGTGAGGCAATGGCCTCGTGAAAAGCCTCCACGTACATGTCACACACCTGGTACTCCTCTGGATAGCACTTTCTTACTGATATCTTGATTTTCAGTAAGTCTTCACTCAGACGTTTCTGGAGGAAATTTAAGTGGTGATCAAGCCAAGAACTTTCTTCTTCCTTAGATGCCATGGGTACTCCCAGGACTCTTTTTCTAGCACTTTCCTTGACAGCTTCCCTCCACTCCTCCCTCCACTTTCTGGGTATGCCGAGCAAGTCCGATCCAGGACCAGCAGTGTTGCCTGTGTTGGGATGAGCTGCTTCTTCACGGGCAATTAAAGTCACCAGGCAGGTCAGCATGGTGTCCTCTACAGTGGGATGCTCCAGTGTTCCCACCACAATGGACTGGATTGCGTTCATGATGGAGTTATAAAGCAAATCCACATCCTTGGATTTCCGTACAAATTCCTGGGGGTTATCTTTGTATCTCTCAGCATCCCGTTCAGTGATAGTCTCATCTTCCAAGTACTTGATGCTTGCAAATGCTTCCAAAAGTTGCTTTTTCTGAATAAGTTCATTGATTTCCATTACTGCCAAAAGAAGAGGGGAAAGGATTGGGACAAAGCAGGTGTTAGGTGACTGACAGGTTGGTAACAGGACAAGGTTCCCCACAGGGAGGCTTGCAGGGCTGCTCTGAGTAGCCAGGTCCCAGCAGTGCCCTGGAGATTAACCTCCCCAGTCTCTCCACTCCTGTTTGACACAGAAGAGGAAAGCAGTGGAAATTGAGCCACATCTCTAAACTGTGGGTTTCAAAGCTTGGAAATATCTAAAAAAAACCCTGATTGTAGCCCTGCAGAAAAACCTCAAGCAATGGCTAACGAGTCTGTACAGAGGGACACTGGGGTCTCAGGCTGCATAAAACCACCCCTGGCTCTGCCCTCTGTCAGTGTGGAGCTGAAGTGGGACTGGCAGCAGGGACAGTTTGGGATATACTCTCCCAGAAGGATTTCCTTAAGCAGGGATGTCCTTGCTTCCCAGCATAGCAGTATGCTCAGCACAGCTCTGCTGCTGAATTGGCCACAGCATCTCTGGCTGAAAGGATATGTCAACATGTTGCCTGAGGATGGATGGAGAATGCCCAGGGGTCCAGCTGGAGGAGTGGAAGGGGTCACAGCAGGACAGACCACTTCAGGCCTTCTGAGCTTCTGGGTCAGACATCACACTAGATGGTCATGTCTGCTCCCAGCCTACCCACCAGCATGTCCTCCACAGATACCAGAGCCCTGGGGGAATGGGATACTGTGCTGGGGATGCTCCTCATAAATTTCTGGGAAAACTCTCTGTTCAGATGTAACCCTGTGCAAAACCCGCATTTCCCTTCTGTCTTGGTTTTGTGTATTATCAAGTTTTCCTGAGATACATCCCGAACTAATGTCACAGATAATCTGGCTCTTGCATATGGGAGAACTGAGCAAAATGGTAACGCAAGCTGCAGAGGTTGTCACCAGTGATTTGCACTATGAGGACTCCTTGAGATGTAGGGACGAAGGTAGCAAGCCAGGAACTGCCCTATATGTAACTTGCCACCCTTCACAGCCTGTGCCTACAAATGGCCTCTGAAACACGTCTTATCTGTTCTAGACATTTGGGAGATGTTCTGTGAATGCTTGTGGTCCTCAGCCTCCTCTCAACTAAAAAGTTTTGGGGAGTTCTGGAGGACCAGAAACCCCTTTGGCTGGGGAGTGAGGAGTGTTTCTGGGATGGTGGTCCTGGGGTAGCAGCAGGAGGAAATGGAGACATACCAAAGTATGCCAGGTATGTGAAGTCCACTCACCCGGGGTGATTCATGGTGGGATGACCTGGCTGTTTACCACCTGTATAGAAACCTACAGTCAGATGCCAAGCACTGCCTCTCACCAGAGTATTTGTTTTCCATGTAGTGAGCACTGCTGTTCCTGGCTGGTGTGGGGTGGGGATACAAACCTGTGGGTTTTTTTCCTGGTGCTCAGTTCTCACGTGGGTGTTCCCCACCACTTTTGCATTTGATGGTGCAAGAACCACTGCCTATTTGCCAGCAATAGAAGAGGTATTTGCCACACGTTGTGGAGATCCAAGAACACTGCTAGCTTTTGTGAGGCCCTGGGAAGCTCTCATCATCTCCAGCATCATAATAGATGCTCTGGACAGGAGATCCCGCTGGGAAACTGGGCATAGGTCAAACGTTAA